CTCTCTCTCTCTCTCTCTCTCTCTCTCTCTCTCTCTCTCTCTCTCTCTCTCTCTCTCTCTCTCTCTCTCTCTCTCTCTCTCTCTCGCATATATTCGCATACTTTATCGCAACCTGCCGAAGAAAGAGAAGTTAAAACCTACCTTGGTCCGCCATGTCCTCCCTCGTATCACCCTGTTCATCACATGCATCGAATTCGTAACATGCATCGAAATCTGTCGTCGTCGAGCTCTTGCTCTCTCTCTCTCTCCCTCTCTCTCTCTCTCTCTTTCTCTCTCTCTTTCTCTCCGCCTCTCTCTTTCTGTCTTACCGTCAGTCGGTGCGAAATCACCCTGTGATCACATGCATGGATTTCATAATCTACGTGTGTTGGCCGACAATCCCCGCATCTCTCTCTCTCTCTTAGAGAAGACAGGCGACAACGAAAGTACCGCGTGGAATGTATTTTCCCGGTACAAATAAAAATTATAACGCCTAAATGAAGGGCGTCGTTATGTAGAACACGACGTCTGCCAAAGAGGCCCGGTAATGCCATTCTCCATCGCTACTGCAGATCCGTAACGTCTTTGTGGAAAAGCAGGCGGGCAGCGTGCCCCCTCGCGCATACACACACACGAACTGTCCGTACAGGGAACTTCCCAGGCGCGGGATGAGTCGCCGAAATGACGTTGCGCCACCCGGCCACACTCTCCATCGATATCATCCTGCTGTCGCTCCCGGCGCCTCTCAAACGTCACCGCAATGTCTAAAGCTCTCTCTCTCTCTCTCTCTCTCTCTCTCTCTCTCTCTCTCTCTCTTGCGCGCACACACACACACACACACGCGCGCGCGCGCACACTCAACCCCAACCCCCACGGACGATGTTAACGAGAATGGATCACGCACACCCCCAAGAAGTAAACGGGATAGAAGAAGCGACGAGGGCGCATCGAGGCAAGGTAGAAAAAAAAAAAGGGAAAGAGAGGGAGATGGCCGTTGAGCTCACCTTATTTTGCAGGGGGATATGCGCCTATGGTGGAAGTCGAAGCACTCACGATTCACGATAATGCGCATAGCCCGCTGTCGAAGGGGTTTTGTTGATGGCAGTGGACGGGTTGGGGAGGTGTTGGGGGAGAGCGTTTGAGGGCCAGGGAAGATTGGGCGGTGTCGAGCACGGGAGCAGGGGTTTAGGGGTTAAACTAATGTGCACGACTTTACGACGATGAAGAAGAAAGAAAACCGGCAGGAATGTGGCCCTGGATTGAAGCCCAGCGATCGAACGTAGGGCTGGGAACAATCCCGCCACACAACATATCTGCTCGTTTTATTATTTATTACCACATGAAAAGGGGAGAGGCTGGGAATCCCTCCTCAAACAACCGGAAAACAAACACTGGGACCACCACCCAGCTCAGGTTCAGGCGTTCTGATAAGAGTCTAGAAGCAGAAAATGGCCAAATACAGACCTCTGCCCTCACTATCCACAAGCCTGGGGCCTGTACCCACTAGCGACGTATTCTTTTTTTTTTTTTTTTAAGGCAAAGCATGCAATTCATTCCAAAGGATCAGTATAAAACGAGGCCGGGGACCCTCACAATTCGACCCGGAGTTAGGGCCTCGCCACACCACTCTTGACACGGGGAAATTTTTCAGGAGCTGTCAGACGTTCTCAAGAGTTGGGTCTTCAAGAGTTTTCGGCCCTCGCCACACAGCACTCTCGAAAGGGCAATGGTGTTAGACAGAGGATGAAAAACGACAGTCGTACAGCTTTGTTTTTTTCGAATGGAGTCAGGATAACGGCCTGACAACTCTTGAAAATCGAAAGTCCCTCAAGGGTTCGGGCAAGGACGCTCAAGGACGCTTGGAAACAACTCTTGAAAATCGAAAGTCCCTCAAGGGTTCGGGCAAGGACGCTGGCTGGGGTTTCCCATCTTTCAAGAGCTGCTCTTGAAAAGGTTTCAAAAGCCACTCTGACAGCTCTTGACTGCCCCAAGTGTCAAGAGGCTGTGTGGCCATGCAGCAACTCTTGAAAAAGAGTTTTCAAGAGTGGTGTGGCGAGGCTCTTATCCTGGCAGCCTCAGCCAGTTTCGCTTTTTTCTGTGCTATTCCATAAACAAAAAAAAAAAAAAAACATAACTCCTCAAATGGGCCACAGCCTAATCCTGATCATTCTACTTCCTATCTGACTACAAGTACCTATTTAGGCTCGTCCTCTACTTCGCTACCCTACCAAGAAACTACAGCTTTCACAGACCTACAAAACCGGTCTGACCCCGGCCTGCCACGACCCAGAGGACTGCTTTCAGCGTTCCTTATTTTGGGGGCCCCCGGACACTCTCCTTCCCACCCTTCACCCGTTGCAGTCTACTGCGATTGCCGACAGGAACCGAGTGTCCTGGTTCGTGAGTTCCCCTCCTCCTAGTCTAGTCTATTAACTCAAGTACCGCCTGTGTCGTTTATCCTCATGTGCCCAGCCATCTAGACAGGACCAGTCCTCCCCTGGAGATACAGATGCAAATCATGAACCTTTTGCCCAAGTCTTCAGAAACCAAGTCAGCCCTTTCTCCCTCCCTTTCCGTTTCCTGGTGCGGCGCCAGTCTGCTCTAATCTCGTTGGCTAAGAGGTGTTTGAACAGTTTGAAGGCATGTTTATCTGCCAATTCATCTCCGTCAAATCTTATCGCATTTCTGTCCTTCCAGATGACCCACATCATTACAGCTCTTGTGACCTGAGCCATGTAACCCAGCCCTCTTTGGCTGTATATACTTCTGGCAGCACTCCTGATAGGACCCATCTCTCGTCACAGAACTTGTTTCTACCGGTGATCTCTTTCCAGTTGAAGAGCCACCACTTCCACCATTTCTTGGACTTAGGGCTGTGACGAACCGATTTCCGCACCGCGCGATTTTCTGTGCGGTAGCGATGAGGGGCCCTAAGCTAGGAAGGATGGGCCAATTACGGGAGATTGGGATGGTTGGGAAATTGCATCGGTGTCCTCGCTTCTTCGTCCTTTTTCGTCGTCTTTCGGATGGATGAGTTCGGGGTCGGGTGAGTCCCGGGACGTTCGATTGGTTGATTGGCTGTGTGAGTGGCGCGCCGTCGTGCGCGCGAATAATAAATGTTGACGTCACTTCTTTTGTTTCGGTTTTGGACTTTTGGGCGCGGACATCGCGCGGGAATTTTGCTTCATTCTTTTTTAATTTTATTTTTGAATTCTTTTTCAGATCTTGCCGAGCCCTGATGGCTCTCGGAATTTCGGACTTCCTTTTCGGAGTTCGGGCTTTTTTGCTTTTCCACATAAGATAGGAATTTAGGAATTTTGCAATTAGGATTTTTCTTTTGCCGTGCGGCGCTTTTTGTTTACGCGCTTCTTTTTGCGGCTGCAACGGAACTCTGATTAGTCAGCGCCTTTAATCGTGTGTGTAACTGTAATTTTGGGCGGGCGCCATTGTAACTGTATCCTTTCTTCTTGTGCTCCGTCTTTCCCGCTCTCGCTTTCTTTTGTTGTGTCTAGCCAGCCCGCGGACTGCATGCCCGGATCGATGCGTGGAGAGAGGCTACGTCCCCCACGTCGCGGCCTGACCATGCAGAACGCAGGCGCTCCCTCTCCAATCTTCTTGCTAAATCCTTGTAATTCCGTGTTCTTCGCGCATGCATACACGCTATAAATTCCGGCTGCGCGATTAGATAGCTCTCTTAACCAACTAATGGAAGCTCGGGGTAGCGCGATCAGTGAGGGTTGGCTCACGAGCGAAGTAAGAGGTGAGTGAAGGGGGAGCCGGGCGATCCGACGAGCTGGTGCCAAACGCGCGAGGTTGACGCGGGCCACGACGGACTGTGGGCCCGGGCAAACCTGACGGGTGCGGGAGGACTACGAGGGGTGACGACTTCGTGGGTTGGTGCGTGACAACGAATTGTCCGCATCACAGAGAGAGAGAGAGAGAGAGAGAGAGAGAGAGAGAGAGAGAGAGAGAGAGAGAGAGAGAGAGAGAGAGAGAGAGAGAGNAGAGAGAGAGAGAGAGAGAGAGAGAGAGAGAGAGAGAGAGAGAGAGAGAGAGGAAGAGGGAACCGAGGTCGATGAGCGTGGATTTGCAGTTTCTTTGTCTTTTCTCCCTCCTCGCCTTTGTATATAAATTTTGATCTCGATCTCGGGCGGTGCGCCCATTTTTCCTTTGTCTTTCAGAATCTGGACTTGGTTTCGGCTCACACTTGTTTTTGCGATTTCAATCTCGGATATTACGTGTTATGCTGAAGGAGTGGATGTTATGACTATTTGCTTTTCCTTGTGCCTGAACTTTGTTGTTGCTTGTCGTTTTGATACACTCATGAGCATAGTAGGAAAGTTCGCGTAATCCTCACTATTGCTGTTTTTCCTTTTTTTGTTACCGCGAATGTGTAGTAGCACCTTACATGATCCGAAAAGGTTGCGTGCATAGAACGATTAGACGATTGGGTAGTGGTTTGTCCAGAAGCTCGCGGGGATGCATGTAAACGCGATCTGATCTGCGCACTTACATGTGTCCACGCACGTCGATTCGTAACCACCCACGCATGAAAGGGCTAACGATTGCGGGAAGAGTGACTTATTGGGTGTGTCCGGCGGCCTTTCTGCGTCTACAATGAAGCGATCATCCCGTGTGAACACGTGTAAGTGCGATTCAATTCGCGCAGTCTACACGTACTCACGCGCGGTGATCGCAATCGTCGAATATCGGGACCGGCACGGAATTCCTGAACGTCGAGCTCGAAAATTCCCTAGTCGGGCAACCACGCGCTAAGGAATTCCGCGGCTTCACCATGACAAGATGACGTGCTCGAGAGACTCAGACTCGTCGTGGGATCCATACTACTTCACCCCTTGGATAGAAGAGTGCCTCCGACAGAGGTTCCCCTGCTTAACCGAGAATCGACTGTGCCATAGGGAGTTCCATTGTGCCACAACCAGCGACCCACGGTGCCCTGATTTCCCCACTTCGGACCACACACACTATTTTATTTCCCCCGGTTTCGTTGTTATCTCCACTAACTTCCCTCCCTTCCGTCTTCTTCTCCCGTATCACCAACTCAAGGTCGTCCCGTGGAACGCCATAGCCACATATTGGCCCCGCACGACCTGCGGGAATTGCCGGCGACGCGGCAACCAGAGAGCCCCGAAAATCCGGGGCCTAACCCGAACGTGCGACGACCGGCGCCACGTGGCGACATCCGACGGCCTGACTTATCGGAATCACACCCACCCCGGATGGATCTTTCGTCGAACCGCCGTCATCAAAACAGACGGTTCGAACGACCTCGAATGACCCACGCATGCCATCTGCCTTAGGACCGGAAGCGGTCCGTCCTCTCAAACCAAATTGCACTCGTGCCCCTGAAAAACTCTGCCACAGGAGATCCCAGTTTTGACCTGGGACTCCACCCCCACTTTCCCAAAAATCCTTGGCACACCCCTTTTCGCACTTCCAGGCCCACATCCTACTCCGATCAGGAAGTCGCGTCGGGCGTGAGGTTGGGCGTCACAGGGCAATCTCACCACAAGTGCTTTAGTTCCTCATATATCCAATCACATCTTACACACTTCACATCAATCCTGTCCATTCCCCTGTTTCTTAGCCACACCGCTGTAGGCACAACCAAGTGGGACTGAAGCCACAAGAGGGAGGCCAACTTCTGTGACGGTATTCTCTTGAGCTGGTCCCATAGTTGTTTTAGCTCGTCCTTCTTTGGTGGTGGGATACTATGGACCGTCCTTTCCCATCTGACTATCAGTTTTTCTCCCAAGGTCTGACTCTCCTTCTTGCAACAACAGGCGGTATCTTTTCCCAACTTTCCTAACCCCACTATATTATGACTTCCTTTTACCCAACCCCAAGCTTCTGGATCTAATCTAATCTTCTAATACGTTCTTTCTCCCCCTACGATCATACGTGTCTGATTCTTCCTTTCTCCCATTCTCACTTTGCATTCTACCAAGCCACTGAGCCCGTATCTCTCCACTGTGCCAAAGGAGATAAGTCTTGGGGATTCCTGACTTTCCTTTTCGAATACTTGCATTACGCACTTGCCCTCCCGCACTTCATCCCATTTCTCCAGTCTATAGAATCGGTGGTTCTCCGGGTTATCCGTATGGAACCAGGTTCCTGGTGGATTTACCCCGCTTGGGCCCTAGAGGAGCTTCCACTCTTGAGGCAGTGCTTCTTTAATGTTTCGAAGTCTCTCCTCCTGTTCCGGCAGCTGACCCAATT